ACCGAAGAGGTATTTCCGATGTCGGATGTACGAGTACGACAATGATAACGGGTGTGGGTTTCACATGGATTGGGACGAGGTAATGTTCCCCGCTTTTTCAGAGTCAGATGATGAAGACAACACCGAGGAGACCGTGAAGAAATGAAGGGTATCGTTCTGGGCTGTATTGATATTAGTCTGGGTCTTTCGGATATCTTTTTAGGTTTTTCGGATATCTGTCTATGATTTTCTGATATTTGTTTAAATAAAGAAGGTATTTGTCTGGGTAGTATGGATATTTTTCTGTTCTTTATGGATATTAGTATACAAAAAGACATATATTTATCCTGCTGCAAAACATCATACCTCCCTAAATATTATCCAACCCTAAATAGCATCCATCCCTAAATATTATCCAAGCCTAAGTTCCTGCACATGTGGCTAGTGAAAGAAGTAATCATTGGTACTATTGAACCTGCTTTTGATAATACTGATATCCAGGAAGCATGGACTAATATCCATGCACACTGCTAATAAATATCCAGATTGCCCAGAAAGGTATATGTTACAAGTGGATTAATATCCACTTCATCAAAAAAACGTATCCTGGAATAACATGTCAATATCAGATCACAATAGATCACACTCGACCCACCCAACATTATATTTATTACCATTGAGCAATAGTATCATCCAAATCACTAAGATGGTCATCCGGTTGAGTATTGTTGTCCGGCGTGACCGCTTCATTTGATTTCATTCCCTTCCTATAGACAGGTTTCTTTCGGCGGCGTTCCTTTTCATTCTTAGACTGGTAACTTTCCTTATCGTTGCTCCTTGGATTACTCTTCTCCTTCAAAGTCAGCCCAGTTATCGGTATAGACCGTCCTACAATGTTACAAAATTTAGTAAATGCAATGATATTAAACTCCAACAATTTACAAATAATATTAGTGAATACACTTACTGTCCTCGCTAGTTATAGTCTTTGACAATGCCTTGTTTGCCTCATTGCACAGTTTCTTGAGTACCCCCATACACTTATTGTAGTCTTTCTCCTCGGCCATCGACAGTTTTGTTGCTAGCTGATTCAACATTGCAGTGGTTTCTTGGTACCGCATTGCTATACCTTTTCCCGCATCATTCTCACTGTCAGCTGAAGGACCAACACAACCATCAACATCAACAACCACTTTCTTTCTCGCCTCCAACGTCCATCGCTCGAGTATGTAATGATATGGAATACTTCTCATACTGGCTTCCCCAAATCTCCAAGATGCCGCATCACTTTAATCATGTGGCGGCAAAACACTCCGAAAGTTCTAAACATCCTGCTTTCGCATACCAATGTCCTCGTAGAAATATCAACGAGAACGACACGCTCATCACTACGCTGACCATCCTCTATCATATATGTGAGGTAGCCAATCATGCCATCATCCCTAGTATCTGAGAGCGTCTCCATTAGATAGGGTTCAGTTTTCAAATACTGCTTTTGTATCCGATTGAAGATGTTAGGAGTAAAGACCTTTGCCGCATGTTGTAGGATCGGGCTATCCTCCAACATAATATAAGGAACCGATTGTTTCCCATTGTAGTCTGACTCCGTCTCCTTGCGTCTTTTTTCGGCCAACAAACTACATTTACAAAGCATGAGAAAGAATTTAGTGCCCAGACTAATATCCACTCAAACCAATTCTAATATCCCAACTACACAAAGTAATATCATTCCAATAGCATATAAATATCCGGACAACGCTGACAAATATCCAAAACTTAAGTAGACTAATATCAAAGAAAGGCAAAGAAATATTCTGCATACCTGCTAAAGTGAATGAAAAACAAGTCCAAATCATGCTTCGGTTTCAAGAAAAATCGCACTTGTGCATTCCACGACTCCTTGGCTTGCGTAGTCAACATCCCGGCTGTGAATTGATCTCTCAACCATAAGGAACACCATCGACGACGAAATTTCTTCAAATATTCCAACCATGGGTGACCGTCCGCAATTTCGCTATTAGGGAAACAATCAACAACCATTGTGCTCCAGGCCATGTCGGACTCTCTCTCACTGTCGATGTCGTAGAAAATATAAGAAAGATGAGTTTGGAACTTCTTTCAAAATGCCTTGTCCTTACGAAGATGCTTCTTCGCATTCATGAGGATGTGCCAAGTACAGATGGCATGAAACACAGCAGGCCACTCCTTTCTAAGGGCAGCTGCCATGCGGCGTCCTGATCAGTAAAAATAGTGACTGGGAGCTTCTTCTTCATGCACCGACTAAATGCTAAAAACAACCATTCAAAAGACTGTGCAGTCTCATCATACATCAAACAAGCACCAAACACACAAGTTTGACGATGGTGATTGAAACCTACAAACATCCCTGCACAAGACAACTATAAATGACAATGCATAACCGAACGATGTCGAAAAAAACGTAAGGGAATTAGGAATTGATATTGTGCCAACGTATGTCAACAAATATCTGTAAAACCCAGACTAGTATCTCATAATGTCATACCAATATTCGTCCTTTTACAAAAACATATCCTGTCAGGCCATGTCAATATCGGATCACAAGAGACCACTCTTGAACCACCCTACATTCTATTCAATACCATTTCTGTAATATACGTACAAACATCCACGCACAAGACAACTATTACTGACCATCCATAACCGAACGAGTGTCGAAAAAACTTAAGGGAATTAGGAATTGATATTGTGCCAACACATGTCAACAAATATCTGTAAAACCCACACTAGTATCTCATAATGCCATACAAATATTCGTCCTTTTACAAAAACATATCCTGTTAGGCCATGTCAATATTGGATCACAAGAGACCACTCTTGAACCACCCTACATTCTATTCAATACCATTTCTGTAATATACGTACAAACATCCATGCTCCTGACAACTATTACTGACAATCCATAACCGAACGAGTGTCGAAAAAAATCAAGGCAATTAAGTGATTCACGTACCTAGTGGACGGAAGTATTTATTGGTTCAGAAGGTGGTATCAAAGGAGACCGAATCTCCAAAAAGCGCATAATCTTAACGCATCCTACTGTCCGCCCAAAAAATATTAGCAACTTTCTCCTCGCAATCGCAATCTACCTCTACATCATAAAAGAAGCTAGGATGCTTTTCCTTTTGGTCCTCAAAGTAGTCAAGCAAATAAGTCGCTTCGTCACGAGCCATTTTCCTTTGCCTTTTACTGTTCAAGTGGTTCTTCTGATCGGATTTGGTAAATTTCAGATTTTGATAGCCACTAGCACAGTCAGCCAATAACTGATACGATGCACTAAGACTCATCCCGGCATCGCGATTAGCTTCGGCCATCTTTTTCTGAGTATCACTCATGCACTTGTTGGACTTGATAAGGTGCGTATGCTCGGTGGAGTGCAAATCATGATTGTGGGCTCCCACGAATTCACACACCACATATCCGTCTCTAGATTCATCCCATCGAAAACGAACACGGGCACTACATCCAACCCTAACTCGAGGCCTATTTCTTTTAGGACGCTTTCTCTCCACAACTTTGTCTTTGGACTGTTTTTGTTTCTCCACATCTACTTCGCTAGTGGAAGTCCAACCTTGCTTATTTCAAAAGTAATAAAGGTAGAAATAAATTCTCCACCTCTCCATTAGAATTCTTCATTTTTCTTTGGTGTTGAGCACCATTTCGAACACCAAAACCCTTTTCGTGAGCATAGCGTTTATAGAAAGCCAAACACTCTTCCTTAGTCCGATAAATTATGTTCTTCCTCGTTTCCTCATCTTCTAGGTCCGATGTCTTGTGAGCTGCGATTTAATTGTATGAGGCCATGTTAGTATCCACATTTAACTTGCCCAAACAATTATCCAACATGCCCACAATAGTATCAAATAGACGTCTAAATCATACCCATAAACAGACTGAATTCTTAGACTTCGACAAGTATCCAACCTTTAAATACATCTTATCCTTTTGTTCCAGAAACGTATCAATAGCCTCCACCAAAATATCCAATATACCCAGAATAATATTTCACCTATCCCTAAAACGTATCCATGACACTCGAAAGAATATCCATACCCAAAAACCCAAAAAAAATATCCAACCACTTTCATCACGTCCATAACAATATCCAACATGCCCAGGTAAATATCTTAGATAGTTTTACAACGTATCCATGACAACACAAAATAATATCCACACCAAAAAACCCAATGAAACAGGAGGTTACACCCAAAATAATATCAACACCATTAAATGACATTCAATGCACACAACAAAACTCAACAACAGAAACATATATATAATAGAATCCACCTTCACTTTCTTCTTCTTCTTCTACAATGAAGTCACCCACACCATTTGAGTCATCATCAACAAATTCATCTAGTGTAGGATCGAGTTCTTCTTCTTCTACAATGAAAGCAACCACACCGTCCAACTCGCCGTCGTCGTCGAAATCATCCTTTCTAAGAATGATCTGCTCGCCAGCAAGGAGAGGCTCGCCGGAACTGATGCTCGCCGACAAGGAGAGTCTCGCCGGGAGTGACGATCACCGGCGACTCTAGCGGTGGTTGAGCAGAAAATTAAAGGAAAAAAAGGAGAGAGAGGGGTTAGAGAGTGAAAGTGATGGTTGAGATCATTTAATGCCACCTTCCCCTTTATTGTTCAACAAATATCCCCCCAAATCTTCTTCAGCAAAATCCCGCCCAAATTTCATCAGCAAAGCAGAATGGGCCCAAAAATCTGTTTTATGAGCCTTCGGCCCATGGGCCATCGGCGGGTAGCTCTTACTAGGCTGCAACCTGCAAGCCACCAGACCCGAATTGTTTCTTCTTTCTCCAACTTTCCGCCCAAAATTTTGGTCCGTCAAAAAACTGTCCACTTTCCGCCCAAAATTTCTGCTCGCCTAAAAAACTGCCCACGGCCTCCTTCCTCTTGGTTCGGCGGATATATGAGTCATTAAGTATCTACTCACAAAACCCACTATGAGCAGTTGAACTTTTTCGCCCGAATCGATCTTTTTGTTCTCCCTTCCGTCTTCGTTTAGCCACAAAAATAACTCATTATTTAATTCCTTCATTTTTATTTCCCCTTTCTGTCCAGGAGGAATCCAAACCCAACCCTAATTAAGAGAAGTAGGCTCGCCGTTCCTTTCCCATTGACGGCGGATTTTCCATCGAATTCTCAAACCAAACTCGGAGCCGATCAAATTCGCAGCAAACCAAACCCAGATCGTTGGCGCGCGAATCTATGGGAAGAACAAACGAATTCCTCTGTTTTTCTCTCTCTACTAATCGCCGGCGCGGAGCCGTTTGGCGTTGAGTTGCTGAACCTCCGGCGCCCACCCTACCGCCCAGCCTTCATCAATCTTCGACAACTCCGGCGCCCAGATTCTTCTCCACCACCCAGCTGCACCTTGACGATGCTGGTACCGTTGACTGCCAAACGCCCATGTAAGCTTTAGCATAAGGATCGAAATTCTCTTTATAAAAAATTAATCAATGGTTGCCTTTCAACCCGTCGATTCCACAACATGTAAACCCTAATTTGGGTATGAAAAGCGACCAAAAGCGAAGGAACCCATCCTTGAATTGAAATGGAATCGGGGAATTGAATGCAAAGATAAATGCATAGTAAATTAATAAAAATAAAGTAATTAGTTAATATTTACTAATGGGGTTTTTAATGAAATAGTACTAAGTGACAAAGTAGGGGTAAATTAGTAGTTGCTCCTTCTCCATAACAGTTAGTTAACGGAAAGTTTGACAGAAGAGTATGATTGTTATCGTTTTGATAATAAAAGGGTAATGTCTGTGCCAAAAAATAATAAAGAGATACATTTGTTAATTCGCAATAGTAGAGAGGTATACAATGTTATTAACCCTACATAAAATGGACAAGGGTCAATCACCACCACTATTATTGAGGCTCAACCCAAGTAAAAACAAGCGTCAAGTTGTTCGCATGGCGCCGCCTGCCAGACATACAAAGCCAGAAATATAAAAAAAGCAATCTCACCAAACACTTTCATGTCCTGTTAGGCTTGTTAGCGGATTTTTAATGATATGTCCAAATTAATGTTTTACCTAAACTGCGGTATTTTCTTCGTACGAAAAATGGTATCATGATTCAATAACTATTCTAGTTTCTTCACCACAAGTTCACAATTGCACTATGATGTTAATGACAATAAGCACGTACTAACGTCGTTGAATTGTCTTTTAAATGCATTATCACAAAAATGCTGAGTGTAGGAACCAAATACTACTTTATATCTGCTGAAACCAAAATATTTGTTTGAATACGTAACCAGAGGAGCAGTCTCCTACGGCTACTGCAACGTGGGGTCACAGATCCAAGGACAAGAAGAAGATAACAACGATCTACACAATGAAAACCCCACGTTGATCAACTCCCCGAGAAGGAAATGCTTATCCTTGAAATCAAATTTATTAACAACCCAAATAAGTCCAAATCAACGACGAATGTATCCTATGGTACACTTGGAAATATCAATTTCATTCCATTATTATATCATCAAACAAACGTCCTTTCATTCTCCACTTCATCTCTGTGGACTGATATGCAAAACACACACACACAGGTCGGCTGAACTAGCTTCCAGTCTTCTTTTCAACCTCTGGAACATGAAGGAGCCACTCATACGGAAGAACAACGATTACCCGGTAGCCACAACATCCGTGGAAGAAGATGGTTTGCAGCAGCAGCAGGGCAGGAGTGAGAGCTTGTGGATGGTTTATCTCAGCACATTTGTCGCTGTTTGCGGGTCTTATGTATTCGGATGCTGTGTAAGTTTTCGTATTGGTTTTTGTTGTTGCAGCTAGCTTTTGCTTTACACAAAATGATGGGTTCTTAGTCATATGAAAAACCATGTTGTTGGCTTGTTGCAGGCGGGATATTCATCGCCAACACAAGATGCAATCAGGGAAGATCTCTCCTTGTCTCTGGCCGAGGTAGGGTGTACTGTTGTTCTCTCTCAAAACGAGTTGTGGGTTGTAGTCTGTAGTTCTGAATTCAGAGCTGTTGAGAAATGTGCAGTATTCTATGTTTGGTTCAATTCTGACGTTTGGGGCAATGATTGGTGCAATCACAAGCGGATCATTGGCTGATCTCCTGGGCCGAAAAGGGGTAATGTTTAAGTTTCAACCATCAAAACACAAAAGCAGCTAGCTTAACTTTTTGGGGGGGTTCTTTCAGAAGCAAAATGTCAGCATCTTTCTTTCCATTCGCAGGTGATGAGACTGTCAAGTGCCTTCTGCGCTGCAGGCTGGATTGCCATTTACTTTGCTGAGGTGCGTTTGTAGTAAACATGGATTTCTATGTTTTGGTATATCTGAAATTCTGAGTTGTTGTTTCTTTGGTTTATAACCAAAGGGAGCAGTGGCACTGGACATTGGCAGATTGGCAACTGGCTATGGGATGGGAGTGTTCTCCTATGTGGTAACACATCTTGCTCTTTTGCATTTTCTTTGGAAAATATTGCTTTAGACTAATCTCGATTTCAATGGTGTTGAAACTTGAAATGATGGTAACGATGATCAGGTGCCTGTTTTCATATCCGAAATAGCGCCCAAGAATCTTCGAGGGGCTCTAGCTACTTTGAATCAGGTTATGATCTGTGGTGGAGTTTCGGTATCATTCATTATAGGCACATTCCTAACGTGGAGGGCGATTGCTTTAACCGGTAAAGAGAAAGAAAAGGCTCACTTTCTCCATTTTGGTGAATGGCAAATGTTTTAGAGGAATTTGGATCTCACTGATTGTGGCATTTTGCAGGACTCGTCCCTTGTGGAATCCTGCTTATAGGACTGTTTTTCATCCCAGAATCTCCTAGATGGCTGGTACCCTAAACTAAATTACTATTGTCTAAAAAATGTTAGGAATTGCAGCAGCTAAGTTGCATTTTGTTAACATTGTATGATGTTCTGTATCTATCCTGCAGGCAAAGAGAGGTCACGAAAAGGAGTTCGAGGTTGCATTGCAGAAACTTCGGGGCAAGGATGCTAATATTGCGGAGGAGGCAGCTGAGATTATGGTTTGAAACCTTGCTGTATAATTGCAGGGTTTAAGAAATATATTGAATGACAGAAAAAAGCTAATGTTTTATAATCTCCCCAGGAATACATTGAAACACTCGACCGCCTTCCTAAAGTAAAGATGCTGGACTTGTTCAACAGAAGATATCTACGATCAGTCATTGTGTGTTCTCTCATTTCTCTGCTATTCATTTACAGGGATGCATTCTGTTTTTCTCTTAGCTTCTTTTTTTGTGTATGACTTTGTCTTGCCTTTGCCAGATTGGTGTTGGGTTGATGGTGGCTCAACAATTTGGAGGAATCAATGGAGTGTGCTTCTATCTCAGTAACATCTTCCAGTCAGCAGGTTGACATACAAATATACTTACAAGAGCAATTTGTTGGATTCGCCCCCCAGTGGAACTTTCTTATCTCTGTTAACTTATTGGTGAATGTCATTTGTGTTAGGATTCTCTCCCAGTGTTGGAACTATTACCTATGCCATTCTTCAGGTTTTGCTAAACCCTCAACATGGATCCCTAAAAAGCACTCATAATCCAAACACTAATAAGAATCTGTTTGAAATTCTGCAGGTTGTGGTGACACTGTTAATTACACAAGTGATTGACAGAGCAGGAAGGAAGCCCCTTTTACTGGTAAAAACCGGACACCGATAAATAACAAAAAACAGAATCTTCACTTTCCCACTACCCTAATTTGGATATTGGTAAACTCATCATGATTTTCTCCTGAGCAGGCTTCTGGATCTGGTTTGGTGCTGGCCTGCTTGATAACAGGCCTTTCATTCTACCTCAAGGTCTTTTCTTTCTCAGCTAATAATCTCATGTCCTTTTGTCTGTCTCTTGAGAATGCAAATGTAATGTGCTTTATGATGTCTTTCTGCTGTGTGAAATTAGGTCAATGAATTGGCTCTGGATTATGTTCCCGTGATGGCCGTAACTGGCATACTGGTAAAACCCTAAACAAGCTTTGGCATAAAACTAATACAACCTTCCCCTTAGTAACTCAAAAGGGTTTGAATTCTAAGTCTCTTCCTGTTTTTGAGTTGCAGTTATATATTGGGTCCTTTTCAGCAGGGATGGGCGCTGTTCCATGGGTTATCATGTCTGAGGTAACTGATATCCTTTCATTTGACAGAAAGAGCACACTCAGAGATTATCAGATTCTTTCATCATTTAACTGCCGATTTCGCTTTTTTTTTTTGGAATTTTCTTTTATGTATTAGATATTTCCAATAAACATCAAAGGAGCAGCTGGAGGTTTAGCAACACTAGTTAACTGGTTTGGTGCATGGGCAGTTTCCTACACATTCAATTTCCTCATGTCCTGGAGCTCCTATGGTAAAGATATAATGCTTTTATTGATTGATGGACATTAAGACGGAGTTAAAAGCGCAATTTGGTTGATGGAAATTGTCTATGTCATGCAGGTACATTTCTTGTTTATGCTGGAATCAACGCGCTAGCCATAGTCTTTGTAATCATGGTGGTACCAGAAACAAAAGGAAGAACCTTAGAACAGATACAAGCAGCCATTAATGGTTAGAATGCAAAACAGTTTTTTTTATTGGACATGGTTGAAGCTCCGATTGCCCGGGTATGTAAACTGGGAAAATTGAACATACATTCATTCATCTCTTCATTTAAGCAAATCAAGGGATAGATGAGCTAGGGGAAGCAATTGTGATGTACCTTTATGAAACAAATGAGGTCCTTCTTGTTGACAGTGGAAAGGAATAAATTTTCCAGCGCCAAAGTAATGTAGAATGCACTTTCCTATTCAGTGATAAGAAACCAAGATGACTATTGTTTCCTCCTTTATTAGGTCCATTCGTGCAATGTGAAGTTGAAAGCTGGCGTTTCTCAACCGAAATAAATATGCAGATATGTATTAGACTACGTACAGGAGGCTGCACATAGCTGAGATCTTTGAGTTTCCTTTCCAACGTTGTTCTGACCGTCCGTTGAATCCAGAGAGAGATTAAGAAAAAGCACGTCTTTAACTTTCCCATGACTTGTCAACAGGAATCAGTGGAGTTCAGTCCGAGATCCCAGTTATTTCTGGAAAATGAATGCAAAATCCAAATGATTACGAGACGGTAATTTCTCAGTTCAAATATTTGTAAACACTCATTTTATCGGCCAAGAGTGAGCTAGCCTCCATCAGTTGACAGCACCTTAATGCCTTCAAATACACGGTAAGGTCACATATGAGACCCTCTTTAGCATCTCTTCTGAAACGAGGCTCTGATGTAAATAGACGGTCATAACTGAGAAGTTTCTCTTTTGTCAACCCATTTGCATTCAGTGTCTGCCAGTATAAATCAGTTCAAGAGCGCCTGTACGAAAGACAGAAACATAATATGTTTAGGATGTCTCAAGCCGAGAAAGAACTGAAAGCTTACACCAAATACAGACTTAATCGATCCGAAGGCATACCTCACAAATGATGAAATCATCTGGGCTGCTATTGTTGTGCAACTTTTGGTGCCATTCCTCCATCATCCCAGTTTTGCACTTATTTTATTTCTCTGATGCATGAAAGTCAGTCAAGCGTACTAATTCCATAGTACGGTTGATAAAGGGCAAAGCAATGATAGTAACCTGTGCATCAAGGACCTCTCGGCCTCCTTTTCATGTTGTGCTACCTCATCAAGTAACCATTTCATACTGCCTTTCCCTTCTCCACCAACCAATTCCAAAGAATTAACAGAAACTGCATTAAAGATCTAGAATACTGACAGTACATAATCAACTAGCAACCTTTTTCACTTACATCGATTGCTTTTCAAATTGACAGAGAAGTATGTGTGCATGTGCCAAAATTGGGGAGGGTTAGTACAAAGCCATATAAAAGTGGAAGATTATTAACTATCTGAGTTTTGCTGTGGCTGCTTCACTGAAATATGTCTGACAAGCACCAAGAACAAGTTCAAATTTCTCAGGCAGTAGACCAGGTGGAGGAGCTTTGCAGGAAGTTTTCAAATGTGCACTCCAGTTAAAAAGGAACCTGAATTTGATACAACTGTGTGTAACAAGAGAACTCACCAACCACTCCACCAAAGACAAACTTGGATAAACCCCAGTGAAGAACTATGGAACCTCTAATGTTACACTGTCACCAAAAAAAATGAAGTTCACCTCTCGTTAATCTGAAAAGGACCTGTACGTAATATTGCATTACTTACTACTCAGAACACTGTAATGCAGAAAAAATTTTCTTAGTCAGAGGCCCCAGTAAGCTAGATGTAACATGCTTGATTTTATACTGAGCTTTCTTTGATGGCAAGAAATTGGGTAGTTAGATGGTAGGCGTTTCCAGAGACAATTCATCTCCCTTTCTGTTTCAGAGCTTCGACGACAGCAACAAACCTTAGTAAATGGGGTCTGCAGTGCACCAGGCTTGTAAGAGTTTGATCCATCACCAGGAATGAACATCTCCTGGAAAAAAGAGACAGACACAAGTTACAGTTATATATCCACATGGAAGCCAAGCCACCTTCACAGAGTAAAGGCAGTAGTTGGGTTGGGTCCATATATATAGGAGCTAGCTAAGGTGGTTGTGGCCACTTGTTGCAAGGGAAGGTGAAATCCCAGAGGAGAACCCTAAGACCTGATGCAATTTTTCAACTGGAGTTCAACTCTAACGAGCCAAAAAAAAAAAAAAAAATGTTGAATTGAAGACAAAAAGTAAAACTTGCGGGTATTGGGTATCTCTGAATTTCTGGTGCCATTTCTATCCCCACATTTGGATGGACAGGTGACGGCAAATAGTAAAAAGGCTCACACGATTAGCCGCCGACTATCTCAACACGTGAAACGTAGTCGGAAAGCATTTTTGAACTTGTTAGTTAGACGCTGTAGACCACGAACAACACAGCCAAAGAACATTGGACAAGAACCAACGAAGTAAGAACACTCCTTGAACAGAAGAGTAATTAACCTGCAAACATATCACCAGACAGCACTGGGAAGAGAGGCAAAGATATAAATCATGGTGTTAGAATTGATAGACTGCATTAATGGAATGGAATAATCATCCGCAGCGGTGTTCTCAACTCTCAATCTCATCTCATAACAACATTGTTCATTTCTCTGGATTTTTTTTTTTTTTATAAAACTAGTCCCTAGTCTCAGTGCTCCTTCATCATGCTACCATCCCTCCCTGCCTTACCATCAAGAGCTCCCAAATGGGGTTCGTCACTTTTGAGAACCTCATTGTGTTAGCAGCTTCGAATCACATGCTACTATTTTAACACGACCTACGTTCTCCTGGGTTTCTCCGTTCTTGAACAATGCATCCTGCAATATGAAGGTCCATACGTTGTCGCAGAATCTGTATGTGTGTAAATGCCTCTGTACCCACAGAAAACACAAGAATTTGGGGAGTTTATATACCCTAGTTTTTGAGGATCGAGGGATTATATAGGGACGATGAATCGGATTTAAGGCAATTTTTTATCTGACGCTTTTGCCCCTCTTGCTCACAAAGTAACAAAATTTTCAAATTGTATGAAATTGCCACTTCTATTTAATTTGTCACCATTTTGTTACCGAGTCGATACAAATTAAATGTTTGTGATCGTTCTCATGTCGGATTGTGGGTTCGTCAAGTATATGATACTAATTATTTGAACGACTCATGAGATGTAGGGTCGTGTGTTCATCGATATACTTATTTTGTCGAATAAGAATACTCTTGTTAAATGATAGCGAGTTAATAAGATGTTTATCTTGTTTTATGTTATCATCATCGATGCTTATGCCTCTAGATGCTTTATTGTATTCTAGAAGTTTTAATCATCTTTGTGTATGATCATTGATGCTTTATTTCACAGGGTTAATATATTTGTATGACCTGAACTTTTCACGTAATAAATGTCCTCACCAATCTTTTCGATCTATAACATCTTGGCCCGAACTATACATCAAAGTAACAAAATTGACCAAACCCGAAAATTGACCGTTAGTCCGTTATCTTGGACGGTCAAAACACGTTGACTAACGGTCAACACACCACATCACCGACTATGAAATGGGTCGGGTTTGAAACATAGTTAGTAAATACTCCGTTTAATACACGTATAGGTACTCGTACGTACTTTATCTGTTTAAGACTTCTGTATCCGTATTATTGTTAAGCTGTTTCATTTTTCCCCATTCATTTGATGGTTCCCGTACTAAACACGTATTAAATCCGTATAACACGTATATTATCCATATTTTACGAATTAAATTGTTAACTTTACTATTATTTATATATTTATTTATATTTAAAATGATTAATTTTATATATTTATGACTATTAACGTACTATTAAACGTAACTTTAGCTTAAAGACGAAATATAATACCCGTACGTATTTTTTACGTAACTTTCTCGTATTGTATTTTACTAACTATGGTTTGAAACGGAAGGGGGCGGGTTTGTCGGCAATGTGAAATGGAAGAGGGAGAAGTGGGGAGGCCTGGTAGAGATGGAGAATAGGGTCAGGTTTGGTTCATGAGTCGGGTTGGGTTAATGGGTTTGGTTGTACATATGACGTGACAGGTTTAGTGATGTGGCGGGTCGGGTTTGACCATTTCCGGACCAAAACAACGCTGACTAGGCGATTTCGTTAGCCATGTCAGCACATAACAGGCTTCATTAACGGAGTTGGAGGGGGACGAACAGAGAGTGTGACTAAATGTGGACGGTTTCAGTAATTGGAGTGACCAAAATTGATATTAAACTTTTCGAGTGACTAAACATGACACGTTTTAGTAATCCCAGTGACCAAATGTGGCATTTACCCGACTATGAAGATATGGCCAAATATGTCTCCTTTATATTTTGAAAATAAAAGGGTTAATAGCATTTTATACCCCTCTATTATTGCAAGTTAACAAACGTGCCCCTCTACTAATTTTTTGCACAAAAATACCCCTCTAATATTAAAATGTAACAAATATACCCTTCCGTTTAATTATCTGTTAAATAACCGTTAAATATGTTACGAAATGACCCATTTGCCCTCATTTAGTATTAATTTAATTTTATTATTTCTTAATCACAACCCAATTAAAAATTATATCAACCCCACCCTACTTCCGAAACCCCCAGCCCCCAATCCCATTTCATTTGCCCTCGGAAACACCATCCCATTCCACAATCCTCCTCCATCAAATCCACTGCCACCGTCGAGACTCGAGAGCCCCTCCACCCACCGCAAGTCTCCAACGCGCACTGCTTACGGCGGCTGCACCCGACTTTTCCTCACCGGAGGCTCTAGTGGACATAAATGGGTGAGACGACTGCGATGATTTCTCTTCGCACAGGCGGAGGGAGAAGAGGTTGCTAAGTGAAATCGAAAATTCCATTAGCAACTGAAATCGAGTGGGAAGCTCAGCACACAGGTGGAGGGAGAAGAGGCTGCGGAGTCGGCTCAGTTCGCGGCCTCTGTTCACAGGGAGATATCTACCGCTGTCTCACCCGATGATGTTCGATGGAGAACACTGGGTGTTTGTTGTCTATCCCCTCTAGCCGTTGCCGTCTCACTCAATGCTTTTCACCGGTTTCCTCTATGGCGGGTGCAGCCGTCGCAAGCAAGGAGCGCCGAAGTCTATCGGTGGGGGAGGGGCTTTCGACGGTGGCGGATGATTGAGTATGAATGGATGGAATTCGAAGGGCTTCCGCGATCAAGGGTGCGATTAAAATTATTATTAACTGCGACGTGGGGTGAGTTGACAACCGAGGAATTGAAAAGAGACTGCGGAATCGACGATGGTGTGGATGGATTGGGGGCTGTGATGCGGCGGGGGTGCAGGATTTGTTGATTAGGGTTAGCAAGGTGACGACAGGGGTGAGGGTAGTCGATAGGATTGGGGAAAGAATAATAAGTTTTCTAATAATTATAGAATAAGTATAAATAGAGGGCAATATGGTCATATCGGATACCTTTAACAGCCCACTAACAGAAATTGTAACAGAAGGGTAAGTTTGTTACATTGCGATAATACAAGTGCATGAAAGTGCAAAATTATAGTAGAGGGACATGTTTGTTAAGTTGCAATAATAGAGGGGTATAAAATGCTATTAACCCAAAATGAAATTATATATTATAGACGGTTTGAATACTAATTATTATCAAATAACATAATATGAAAATTTTAAATTTATGAACTAAATGATATGATACCTGAGTTAGAACCTATCTCGCGAGCTGATTGATGAGTCAAACTCAAGTATAACTCGTGAGCTTATTAACAAGCCAAGCTCGAGTCAACACAAGCAGAGGTTTTAGTAAACAAGCTGAGCTCAAGCTGGGTCAAAACTCGACCCGACTCGGGCTCATTTGCAGCCCTAAGTGGTCAAACAGTGTCGGAGGGATTGAGCGTTGACAGTAGTGTGTTGCTGAGGTATTTTTTCTTAATTAAAATTTGAAAATGTTGGAATTATGACCATCAGATATCCTCCAACTCATCATAGTGATGCCTAATTTACATTACTAACTAAACTGGTAATGAGAAGTTAATATTTGGCTAATTATTTGTATTACTAAAGGTTTGGCTAGTAATTTAAAATTCGAGAAAGATTTGGCTAATAAATTGTATTTATTCAAGAATTTTCGATATAGACACACCATATACTCACTTATGAAGCGAGAGCATAAAATATCTACAAGATCGAAAAAAATTTAAATATATAAATTAATTAATATATATATGGTAAAAAAACTAGGATACATGTATAGATTACATAGTTCATAGTTGTCATAACAAGTCCACTTTAACCTACAAACATATGGTCCACTTAACATGTAAACGAGTTAAAATCTCGTTTAACAAGCACATTTGGAATACTGTCCCAGAACATTAGAGAGTGTGAATTCCAATTCCATCATGCGAGAGAAAGACAATGAGGCGAGCTCGGAGGTGCTTCCAGACGAATGTAATCGTACATGATCCCTTGGAAGGGGCCCTCAAATGGGGCAGTAGCAGGAGACTTGGTTTGCGTCTGAGTGAAGTAGAATATGTTCTCTCCTTTCCAAAGTAGAGCAGCTGGGACCAGAACCTCGTACAGCCTATACAGCCCGTGGATTCCGTGTCTTCCTATCGTGTTGTCGTGCCCAATCACTCCCGTCGAGAACAATGGAGAGCTACTCATGTCTTGGTTGTTGATTCTAACCTTAAACATCGCGATGAACCCAATGTCACAACATTTTCTTAACCATGATTGTCTGCTCCGAACAAAGCAGCATAAACAGGATTAAGTGAGATGTAGTACCTGCAGTTCTGCAACATGTGCAGTGGCAACAGCGACTCGAAGCAAATAGTCTCCCACATCGCTACTGCTCGTATTGCCAACGCTGTCGACGTAGAATTTGATCTGCCACGTGGTCGGTACATATTCGCCTTCCTTCGTTCTTCTGAAAATCGTTACATACAAGGATTCATTAATAATAATTGTGTTATTTTCATTGTTATCTGGTAACATTGGAGCATAAGAAGCTTAGCTGCTGCTTTGGGAGGAACCTGGGAATATGGGCATAGAACCAATCTTTGGCCCAATCACTCTTCCCAACAGTATAAACCACATCCTTATCTGGGTACAATTCTGTATATCTATCCCACAACCCGTATTGTCTGAACCTGCAGAGTAAACAGAGAATTCGAATAATGGACATTCTTACAGATTTACTATTGTGTAATGGCAGAGGATTAATTATTTGACCTGTCAGGATGGTTCACATAAAGCTTGTTGATATACTTGGGATCAACATCAGGAACATAGAATCCGGATGCAGTTCTATCAGGGTAACCGATTTCCCACAGCGTCGGTCCATGTCTCGGAGGTTCGTACACAACATCCCCCATGTCCATACTACTTCCTGAGTTCTCGTCGTAAAACATGATTAAAGATCGCAATCAAATCCAGTCTTAGACGACGTCACATTTTCAGTTTCGTGAATGAAAAGTAAGGGCAGGAGTGGCACCTGGTGCTATGGTGACAGAAGAACCAAATTTGTAATCACCGAGAAAACCAGGGATATAGGCGTAGAGATTGTACTCCCCGGGCCGAACGTTGGCGATCGAGAAGAAACCTTGCTCATCTGCTTGTGTCCAGAACTGGTATCCCTGTGAGTGACCCAAATGCAGTGTGGTATTGAGTTACAAAACAAATGTACTATGGTTTAAGGGAACTTTGGGGAGATCAGATTCACCTTGCCGTCAATCTGCC